AGCGAACCGTTTCAGCACTGATGAACTCGTGTGGGCTCCTCTCTGTAGTAGCTGGCCGGTCAGATCACGAGAGAGGGCTGGACATTCGAACACGGTATCTAAGTTTAAGCTGATATCCTAACTGTCGGTAACGGGTCGTTCACACCAATGATAAACTGTATGCGTTGTCCCACCCTGCCAACTGACTTAGAAGAAGTCATCTAAGTTTGGCAACGATGATCAACTATATAAGTTATATGAATGTATATCCGGTAATTCCTCATATCATCCCATACAGATGAATGTCACATAGACACATCGCAATTCTAACAGATTAGCACTGCCGTTCGAGTGACCTAAATAAGTTCAAACGTCGAATAATAATTACTCGGCTACTCAACATCTAACAACTTTTCATATGAAATCTTTATTTTATTTCAACAAAACAACACAAAAACCCCATATGCTGGGCAAAGCAAAAAGGCAAGGACGCAGAATTGGTTTTCCAACCAAGAATGATCATATAGTCTGAATATACAGATAAGAATAACTATATTCATTAAAAGAACAGCAAATATATCAGATAGATATGGTTACATTTATACACTTATTTGAATAAATATTATATTCAACAATACGTATCCTTAAAGTTCTATTAAGATCAGAGTAACACGTGTATCCATATGAATAAAAACTAAAGCTATATTAATTTGAATAACATCCAAATTGATAACGATAATAATCACCTAATTTTATCCATCCGAATAACAATTCTTCTAATCACAATAACGAATCAATTCATGTGAATAACGAATCATTTCATCTAAATAGGGTAAATATGTTCATATGAACAACGAATATATTCATATAAATAACGAATATATTCATATGAATAACGAATATATTCATATGAATAACGAATATATTCATATGAATAACGAATATATTCATATGAATAACGATATGAACCATATGAATAACGATCAGATTCATTATGAATAACGATTAGATACATATGAATAACGATTATGAATAACGATTATATTCATATTAATAACGATTATATCCATATGAATAACGATTATATCCATATCAATGACGATTATATCCATATGAATAACGTTTATAGACCCTTAATTATCATTATATTCATCTCAATAATATCTATATTAGCATGAACAAAAGTAACTATAATATTCATGTAATTAACAGAGCACACAAAGATTATATAATATAAACAAATAACAGCGTATTAATATGTATGCATTACATTAAGAGTTTTTAACAATAATGTAATACTTGTACACAAGTACAAATTTGACCACGGCATCGTACTATTTTCATATGGATACACAAATTGTAATAATAAATATGTAATACATAATGTATTAGTACACCCTAATGTTCACATTTCGTGTACCAATTATTTTTTTTTACATATATATATTCACTACTCTTAAATATATGCTTAAGAGTATTTATACGTTTTAGACGTACATTTATCATTTCAATAATGATATATAAATATATCAAATTTATTGATTAATATACACGTACATGTATTTATTCCGAACGTTTTACACATAAATATAAAGGTACATTTAAACAGGCTATATATTTACATGTATAATGAGACCGTTTATATTATGCAGGTATCATATTCTATTACATCTAATCAATAATTATTGACATTTTTTAATTAAAAACACTATATATGCACACAGATAAAAATAGACAATAAAACATAATATGCATTATAACATGAGTACTGAAACAGGCAAACAGCTGTAAATTAGATAATATCTGATAATTTACATATCTCTAATGATAATATTAACAGAATATTTATAATACCACACTATACCATGGCTTAACGTCCGCTTTCTTGGTGATATAGTTCAAAATATTCCGACATTAAAATGTTCTCCAGAAATGACGCAGAGGGTATTTTGCGACAAAAATAATTACGTTCAATTTCATAAAAATATTTGAAATTATATTGCACAAAATACGTATATCTTTACAAGTCAGCCGAATACTAGAATGTTGGTCTTATGTAAATTATCTGAATGTACACATAATAGAATATCATTGCATCTACGATAGCATGTGTGACCTGTTCTGTTTTGAAACAATGGTAATGGAATTTCAGTGTAGGCTATTTCGAAGACAATATGCCCTGGACAAATAATGGCGTGGTTTCGAATTCCCGGTTGTACGTGACAAGGAGTAGGGTCGCCTGTCTAACTTTGTGGGTATTATCCGGGTCCTCCGGTTTCCTCCCACTGCTAAAGACCCCTACGCGCAAGCGAATTATTGAAATAAAATTAAACCGAAATGACCTAGTTTGTGTCGAGTGGACGTTAAACCCTATTTCGCTCTCTCTCTCTCTTTCTCTCTCTCTCTCAAATAATTTTACAATGTCCATGCGTTTGCATTCAAATGTTCGACGTAGCCTTAACTGTGTTAATAATTAATCATTCTAATTGTTCTATCAATGTATAGTCTGCAGTTACACATATACAAAAACTGAATCTCATTGTGTATCACGAATCCAACGTGAATTCAATACAGTCTTTGCGCCTTAATGTCTCATTTTTGTGAATTTGAATGTCTATATTTTTAGGCTTCATGTTTGCAAATATCTGTAATTTGAAATCAACATAACTGAAGCTTATGATCAATTATAACACACCGAACCACGAATATGACCCAACTTGACGGAGTGGAATCTAACCATGTAGTTGGTGGTTTGCTTTGGGATACCACCCAGTTCCAAGGTAATGTCTGTCGAATTTTCAAGAGTTTCCCATTCACGTACTATTGCACATATCCACTGATCGCGCGCTGTACATAATTAATTGTTCTCGAAATATAACGACATTTACAGCTATGAAACATGTTTTGCTCTTAATTCAAGACCGATACTGTCTGAATTTTCAAAAGTTTCTTTGAAAAACGAACTGATAATAATATATTGTATAAGAAACACGAGTACACGGTTCGTCGCTCGGGACAACTATCCTTGGATCTTTAAGGGATATGCAGGTTTTCGTGAATTATAATCCCGTGATTATTTTCTGAATTGACATGAAGGTAATGATATTCAATATCCAAAAGAGTAAAGATATAATAAAGAATTATTTCATTTGAAAAAAAGTTCAGATTGAGCGCACGTTAATAGTAACATCCCAGTAATTTGTTTTTGAGGACTACATACGCCAAAGACATTCAATATGTAGCCATTAAAATAATCAGCATTTGATTTTGTTCTCAGGCTTCTGTTTTCAAGACCAAGGCAATGCTTCCAGTTGAATTGTATTATTGCAAGGCTTCAATTTATTTCTAAAACCCTTTCAAAACAGCAACTTTTTAAAAACGTTATTTGAGTTGAATTGCTCGCCATGAAAAACGCAGATCATTCTTTCAAAATGTGTTCTTACGCACTGTACTGACGTCATTAAGGCTTGTAAATAGTCCTGCATTTATACATCTTCAAATTCATCATGTTATAAGTTGCACTCCGTGACATTTATCACATTTATACACTTAATCAACGATTAATTCAGTAACTCATTAGCCCTTTATTTGTCACAAATCACAGCCGGTTTCGTTCAATACTAATGATGTCTAAATAACTCGCATCCAGACTTGAAAACGTGTCATAATGCCAATTCATTTAAAGGCGTGTTCAAATCTTATTTATATTCTTAACAAATTCATAAATTCTACAATTATAGTCTTGTGCATACACGAATATGAGTCAGTCCGATCGTCCTGTTGCTGGCTTACATAAAGCAAATAAACACTTCTCTATTTAAGGATCGACAATCGAGATTACCGTATAACACATCTAAGACCCAGGCGCACAAGTCCACAAAGGAGTGATGCAACAAACTCCACATGCATTCAGCTATTAGGGATAATGTATGTCATCTCGAGACAGAATCTGATCACACTTTACATCATTTCTAAAGTATAACACTCCCAAGACCCAAGCGTACTTGTCCACAAAGATACGGCGTAATAATGTGTATCATGCACGAGGCAAAATCTAATCCTGTTTTACACCACTGCTAACAAATATTTGTGGAATCAATTACTGATAATAGGACTACGCTCAACTACACAAACTTTCTATCTACCAACCCGCCACCATTACCCCCGGTTAGTTCAGAAATATAGGATGTTAAACCCCATTTCATTGAATTTCTTTCTACACGTTATGGCTCATCATGTCCATCTTTCAATGGGTTATTTCAGTTTCTATCACATCATTTCACTATTCCAAACACAGGATAATGTTCGACGTTTTGAATTCAACATTTGTATTTTTACACGTTCTCTGTTATTATAGTAATTTCACTCAAAAAAGTTCGCAGTTAATCGATAGAACACTCACATGCATGGCAATCTATTTCTTCATCCAAATGATGATGTAACAATTCAGTGAGGCCATATGGCTCAATACAAATTCTATAGCTATATCAGCATCGATAATAAATGCGTTTACCATGGCTAATATTATTTGTAACCCTTTATGGAAATAGTCCATTCTGCGGTTTCTAATCAATTTCTGGTTTGCATGATAACTAATGGCTTCGACTACTAAACATCCCCATTTATTATTACTGCAATTCGTCAACAAGCTTACATAAATTACAAGTCAATTAAAATCTTCATGCGGCTGCATTTACGACCAAGTGCCTTGTTAGTTTATGTATGTATTCACTTTGTCATCTAAACGTTTTACGTATTCGTTATCTTAAGATTTGATACAACACTGGCAGAAAACGTTAAATGTTTACTACTGGACTTCGAGGTTTATAATTTGTGCAAACAAAAGAGTTAGTTGCGTTCTATCGCAAAGATCCCCATGCAGGTTACAATATATTATTCAAATGAAAGTATTTAAATACAGACGCCTCTAAGTATCAATCGCATGACCAACTCTCTCTTTTTTTATTAATCCTACCAAATTATATTTCGACACCATCCAAATTATATTATATATCAACACCAACCAGATTACTTGTTTATTTGACATGACATGTTCCACTTCTACATTTCGTAAATGGAAAAAGCACAGGCTTTTCGATTTCCCGCTTGTACGCGACAAATAGTAGAGTCGCCTGTCCAACCTCGTGGGTTTTCCCCGAGTCCTCCAACTGCTAAAGACCCCTACGCGCAATATAATTGAACCGTTTGTTATTCCCGAAATTACCTAGATTGTGTGAAGTGGACGTTAAACCTCTCTATCTCTGTCATGTGACAGATTACTCCCTAGATCAGAGTAACAATCAGAATATTTCAGAAACTAAAAATATTAAATGACTTGTCACGGACGTGAAATTTTCTTATTTAGAGCTAAGTCTCTAGTCAGTTCAGTACAATACGAAGATTATTCACGTCTTATCAGGAATTTAGAAATGAATTGAAGATTGCCAGAATTAAGGCGCTTACAGACTGACATCATGTTCAATTTACTCTACTGACACAATACAATCTAGGTTGACCTGGACAAAATAAATCCGCAATATATTTGTGTGAACATACAGCACGTGTCCAAAGTCTATGCACACAATCTTTAGGAGTAAAACAGTCTCTGGATGATCCTCAAAAAGTATGCTAAAGTTTCTCTGTATATCAATGAAAGGAGATATTCATCACCGAGTGTCCGTTAATCGTTGGCAGATATCCGCCAGCTTTTCCAGATACACTACACAGCAAAAGAATAAATGCCCTGATTCAAGATAACCAATGCTTATGACACATTGTTTTTTTCATTCTTAGCAATGAACATTCGAAATCTTCTGAAGCGCGGTGCACCGATTAAAATCACCACGTCAGTACAATGTACTCAACTTAGACATTTCTGAGAAAATCCATGATAACGGGTCGCGACGACGTTATTCAAATTTGAAATATATTCTTAAACAATCCGCTTAACTCCTTGTCAATTATTAAATGGGACTAACATCGACTTCGTGTGTCACTGGTAGATATTTGAAAGGCGTCAAAATATATTCGCGTACATGGCCAATATAACTATTGCCTCACGTCTCAGCTTCACCAAAACATGTTCAAGCTAGAAATAATATCACAAAATATTGTAGTGTTTTATTGGTACATTTATAGAATATCCAAACGCCAACGTAACTCTCCACACAAATATGTTCTTGTGGTTAACAACTACGTTAATTTACCTGAAAGTTTCTCTACTAGGTACAACTACTAACTTAAAATCACACACGCATCCTCTTGTTTCAATCGTATGTAGTTAGACCAGCAATCAGCCTCGGGTCCTGTGGGCAATAGCAACCACTTCACTTGATTCGTATTTTTCCGGGTTTACAACACTTAAGGTATCACAAAACGTCACATTCTTCATTGTTTGATGAAACTGAACTTTCCCATTTCGGTCTGAATCAACTAGATAAGAAACACTGCGCCATTATTTCTATCACGACACGTTTCTGTTCTCGGCACAATACATTACATTTTTATTTCTAGTTCTACAAGGCAGTCTCATTTCCTGTGGTGACGGCAGTCTTTCCGTTCTCTGTCCCTGTTGGTAGGGTCATGTAAGCTGAATATTCGCGATCCATCGGAGCTTGACCCCCTATAAACAGGCGCTTAAATGTTTCTCTGAATTGTTTACTCATACCACAGTAAATAAAGAAGTTCAGTGGATAACTTAATAATATGAATAAGTTAGAGAATATAGACAATGTTTTTAAAGTATGAGGTTCTATAATATTGATATCAAACGTATTAGAAATAATCATTATTATCATCAAAATACCCAACGGGAACTCCACTAAAAGAAACAGTCCAACAACAGCGACAAGCATTAACGTCGTACAATTACTGTCTTTCAACTTTTTAGATTCGCTTTTCTTGTTCTGACGCAGTAGTTGCATGCGTCGCACTTGCGCCACACGCATGGCGTAGATTAAAAGCGCGTTCATGACTACTAAAAAGCTACATGGGATTAAGTGAATAAAGAGAACACGGAACCAAAAATAAATACTCATATAGATTTTCATATCTAACAAAACCCAGCTAGCATACATTTGGACGCAGCCAACAACAGTTTGGTTTACATGAACATTAGACGACACCTCTATAGGAAAAAACGAAACTTCAAAGAACCGGGATAACTGACTAAGGGTTGCAATGACGTAAACTCCAATCGACACAAGAATAGCGTTAGGAATAGTACACCACACACGCGCTTTAAAAGAATGACAAACATAAATATAGCGCTGGATTGCCAGAGCCATGGTGAGCCATATTGAAGCTGTGTGAAAGATTGTTGGTATATATTCTGCTAGGTACATGTACGCATAACACCAACTGTACGGAATATATTCTCGTAAACGATCCGTGGCGAAAAACTGTAGAAATATAGGCAGCGGAAACACTCCTGTTAACATATCCGAGATGGCCATTCCTACAAGCAGAGTATTAGTGGGTGATCTCATGTTCCTTTTTAGTAAAACAATACACACTAAAGAGTTGGTCACAATCGTCAGAAACACTAAAATTGGTGACAAATATCCATTGATTATAACTGCGTAATTTTCCGGAAATTTATCTAAGATATGCAGCGGAGTCGGAAGGGATGGTATCGCATGACTCGAATTATTAGCGGCCATTTGCATTTCTCCAAACTCCATCACTCCCGTCATTTCTAACGCAGTCTCATCCATCGTGTTATTTTATCTTTCAATTTGTTAATGTAAATATGTATATGTTCAATATATAGCCTTACTGTTCGTTAACTATTAAATTCATAAATCTGGGAATATTAGCATATTTAGTTCCTCGATTTCTAAAACTGCATTAAAACGTTTTTACAAACACTTTTAGTTTATGTACCAAACACAAGGAGTCATGTATTTACACGCTTAACGATAACGATGTTTTGGGGGGTGTTTTTATCAAAATCATTTTGGTTACATTTTTATACAAAAAACATATATTTCAACTTCGTGAAACATTGAAGTACCTTTGTCAGTTATAAGTTTTTTGGATTTATTTCTGTATTTGATTACAAATTTGTTAAGTTGGTAGTAACACCCACAATGGAAACGCCACGTCACTTTGCTAAGAAAAAGTACTTATCAAGGCTTGCCGTAGATATTGACGTTATTAATTGGTATTCGGTAAATTTTAAGTAAAGTAACTCAAATCTTCAGATCAAATATAAAACGATGATGAACTTGTTACTGGGAACGATATAGATTGGCATTCAGACGATGTTTGCGACTTTCGGTGCGATTTTAACCATGACGAACGACCAAAAAAACAGCATTTGATATCCATAATGAAGTATTTCACAATGAGCAATACGACACAGAATGTAATCAAGCTGTATGCTCATGCCGTTTCAAATTCTTAACATATTTATGTCCACACAATATATATTAATACCATCATAGTATTCAAACGAAGGTCCACACTTCCTGCAAGTCATGCCCGAACCAAATGAATGATAGCCAGTAATCCGACGACGATTTTAAGTGTTTTTTTTAAAAATGAATTCTGTTTGGCTTCGATCAGTTAAGTTATTCCATTTATCGATAACCGCACAGCAACACACTATCCTTTATTCGGTTTATATTTCAGCCTTCTGAAGAGCTATCGAAAGAATAATTTGATTAGATTCAATATAATTAGTTCACCTTCTGTCTCATATGTCTAAAACCTTGGTAACCACTCGGGAGAGCGAAATGTATCTTCCGCAGGTTTCACATTAATGTTTTAACTAAACAGCCGCTCCTTTTGAAAAACCAAACACTTTCTAAGTAGGTTAGCGTCCGTTATAAAAACTCACATACCAACTTACGCGATTCGTCAAATTGATGTGCAATGCTTGCCAATCCAACTGATCGCGATTTAATAATTTGTGAATAGACTCTCTGCAATGGAATCTGGCAATTAAAACCAATATATTATAACCTATTGAAACGCCGAGGATCCATATCGTCCAGCAAAAATAGATTTTGTGCCTTTGAAACTTTAACAAGAGAGATATTGGGTAATTACAAGTACATTATGGTCTCGTTGATCCTAGACGGAACATCACAATAACACGATTTCATACCGTGAATCACATTAAACCAAATTATTCACAATCGGGACCGTCTCTGGCCAATTTCTGAAATCGAACAGAAGAAAAGGCCAAGAGACAAACAAACTCTAGATTAAAGCAGAACTATGTCCGGTTCTTGAATCTTGATGTCAAAAACGTTTTTTCACGCTAAATCACGCGGGATTAATTATTCTTCCATTACTTCCTTGCCAGTCAAGTGGAAAATTTAAATGATCTTCTCCTAGTTAACTCTCTGGTGTCTGGAGGTAGAATCTGTAATAACGTGATGTCACGAGAAATCTCGCCCAGGACATAGAACTAGGGTTTTGACCTGTAAAATAGAATAAATTGTCTTAAGAATGGATGGAATTATGATATTTGTCTTGCGTTCAGTAGATCGATAAGACAAAGACAATTTATTGGCATAGAAATAAAGAAATGATTGATTTTATAATACAATTAACACATTGTTAGCACAAGAGAATGGTTGTTTATCTGACGTAACACAGATTAAAGGTAGTCTGCCCCATCGGAATCGGCCAATCAGATCTAAGAATCAGATTACACACTCTATGAAGTTGTTATGTCTGTTTTTTATGCTTTTGACCACGTTGCTGTTTTTATTTTGGCTCAACAGATCAATTTCACTGGTTGTTACGCCGTGTCAGTATGATGTCCAAGTGTCAAAACATATTTGTCAAGTTTATACAAAGTTCGTTCTGGCTGAAACACATATCTAAATTTTGTTTCGTTTTCACTACATATACTCACCACATACAACATTCTGACAAATATTTAGTTTATACATGTACGTGTACCTCTATAATGCACACGTGATACGCCATGTTGGAAAGACTATATAAACGAATGTCCCGTAGATAAGGTTATGACCATTACATGTATACAGTTTTGAAGTTCCTTCATGAGGTAGTCGTAATTTAACATTTCATAGAACTATTTCACTATTATTGATGGTCAAGTGATTTGCCGGAAACATGCCTCTTCGAGCAAGCATTATCCAGTTCCAAATCGTTATGGGAAATCACATCTCCTGTTTCATGGATTAACCATTTTGTTGACCGACATATACATACTTCAAATACGCCGGAAATTACAAAAATTTATTGGAAACGCATAGAATAGACACTGTTACTATAACAACCTATACGAAACAGGTTTTTTGTTGAAATTTGACTGTATAACGTTCCGCAGCCCACAACAATCTGATAAAAAAACCCAACGGAACAGACTACGGAAATGAATTACGGAAAGGTTAGATCTTGTGTCTGAAGATTGTATGCTATAATTTGAACAACTCGTCTGCCAATTTACCGGGATTCAATGTCTTGCAACTGTTTAATTAAAAGCGCATGTTTTCTATTTAAAAAAAAAAACCAAAAAATTTTTTTTTTTAATTTTTATTTCAACTTTGTTTGAATTCTTCCAGTAATTTGAGCAATTCGTAATAAATAAACGTCTAGGAATAAATAAACACCCTTACATTTACAGTATTTAATATGAGACTAGCTTTGAATGTCTAAAAAGAAAAGTACACTAGTTCTCACATTAAATGAAACATGTAGTAGTTATTAGCACACTTTCCTCGGTGTATCGGTGAAGATCAGGATAGTTTTGGTCGAGGGGCCCAGCCGAGGCGGAGCCGAAGCGGCCCCCGACGAAAACTGTCCTATAGAGTATTGTGAAGCGAAATGTGAAAATTGTGGTAGAATGATTTCGCAGTAGAGAAACGACCTGAGTAGTATTTACACGTGCGTCTTGCTGCGTTACCCTGAGCGTAAAACAGTCACGTGTTTTTAGACTGCACTCCGTTTTGAAAGACGAAATTGTTTTGACGAAGTCGGTGAACGTAGAGCCAACCACATTGTCAAAACAACTTGTCCCTGGCGTAGAGGACTGCAATTATATTAAACGTTATGTAAAGGACACTGCACAACGTGGGTCAATCCTGGTGAAGTGTGCATCGGCGGATGGTTCGTCCGTTGAAATTTATTTATAATAAAATTTATGACTTTCTAGGCGTTTGTTTTCATCCTGCTTTTTTTCAATGCTTGTATAAAAGTGTTTGTTTGTCGGAAATGAACAATACTCGTTCTGGAAAGCGTGCTGTTCATTTCTGATACACGGATACTTTTTTGCCTGTATTGGAAATAAACAGGACAGTTTTATCAAAGGTTGCCACTGGCAACGAGGTAGAAGTGGGATGTAAATGATTATAAATGATGCACTATTCGTATTACTAAACTAATCGACCTGTAATAGTGTGCCTTTGTAGACATTTTAATTTTACCCACGCGGGGTATCAATTGACCAATGTCAAATGGATAATACTCTGCGAAGACTAAAGGCAATATCCCTTGTACATAGTAAATAAATAACATATGAGTAACAATGTAATGTTATAGAAGCATTAACATTGTGAGTTCCATGGGCAATATGTAACAGACCGTTTAGTTGGGTCAAATCCAGATACCAAAGCGATTACAAACTTTAGTGTGAATTTATATTTGAACATAAGGGCTATTCATTTGTTTGCTCAAAATGATAATGGTTAGGAATTATAAAGGAGGCATTAAAATCCATCATTTTCAATGATATATTGGGTCTTCAACCGATATAACAAATCCATTCATTGTAGAAACATTTCCTATTTATAACCGTTTTAATACTACAAGTTATTCATGAGATAAACAAACAAGAACGATTTTGATTTCATGTTACAGATCTAAATTTTCATTTTTTCCCCCCTTCTTCGAGTAAAGTTTATTGTACAATCGAAGTCATTTATCAGATTAAGACCAGGAAAAAGGAGCATAAATGAGATACTTAATCGAATAGCTTACAATTCTGTTGTATTTTCCTGCACCTTAAGTCTCCTTATGAAGACAAAATTGCACCTGTTACCAAATTACATCGTATTAGTGTGTGGTCTGATGATTACCGATGCCATAAAAAGTCACCAATGATTTTAAAGACGTTTCAGGGATAAGTGATGATTATATGAATGATTTATGTGCATCTTACCAGGTATCCCCCTCCCAACTCCCTGCACTTTTAGTTATGTAAATATATTTACTCGTTGTTTTAAAAAAATATATATTTTGATTTTTTTTGTCCATGTCTCGAATCGCATAAACTCGCAAAAACAGATGATAAAATCATTCTTCACTGCCTTAAAGGAGCCACGTCTATAACTCAATATCATTCACAGTCTTCGACATTGCAAACACAGCTTATTGGTCAATTTAAATCAACATTGATATTGTTATCTTACCGTGAAAAGTTGGGCTTCTGATATACAATATTTAAGACAAAATAAAAATTTTGAAATTGGCACACGAATCGTGTGCCAGAATGCTTCCAAGTGCCATTTGTATGAAGCGACTTGATGATCGAGTCTAAACATATCCTCATTTAGGACAATGCTACTGGTGTAGACTGGAATAACGACTGGCATTGAATTCACACTGTTCGCCTATTTCGCCGAACATAGCTGGTTAGAACTTACAGTAAAAACAGAAACGATTGAATGTAAATCAGTTAATATACATTCATTTTAGATTGTTATATGCGTTGCGATCCATTTGTGTCCATTTCTAGATGCCAAACAATAGCGATTTAGCTCCTTTAAACTATATAAATATGCATTACAAACCAGAATATAGAAAAATAGAAATGACCCGATGGTACCGGTAGGTAATGCGATAAGACAATATTTTAAATTCACGTTTTAACAAAAGAGTACCCCACTGGCGAAGAATCTAGTCTACTATGCAATCATATCTACATGTCGAATCCATTTACAGTAGACGTACTTAACGGCCGCAGCAATGCGACTTAATTATCGTACTCAAATAAGTTCCGAATTTTTTATAATAATTACGTATGCAGTCGATTTATACAAAGAGTTTTCTGGCTATGTGAATTCCTAAATTTCCGTAAGAAGTAGTATCAGGTATCCTATAAATTGTTACTCCATTTGTTGTTGCTCTCTATTTTGCCGAATTCTAGATAGGATCGATTGGGTTCGATTTTGTTTTTATATAACACAATGATTGCACTATTTAAAAAACCCACGGTTTAAGGACATAATAATATGGTGACATTGCAGAAACAAATACAGAAACAAAAATATCCCAAAATTTAATAAATCTTCATTTTTACAGGTCACAAAATTTGTTCAAGCAAAGACAATAATTCCACTTTAAGTAATGTCAGAAACCTCTATCTAGTTTATTATCATAATCAATCATTTTTCAAATTTAAGAGATGTCCATCTATCTTGTACTCATAGCTTCGAGATAAAAACTAATAATAAAAGATGCATGCTTATTTAATATGCCATGATTCTGTGTGAATACTGAACGAAGCTGGAGCATTTTAGACTGATAATCCTTTCACAGATTCAACTTCCAATATCTACCAGAGGAAGTTCAGAGACTTTAATATGTGGCGATCTTTGATGACTCTTTGGGTGTACCTGATTTAATGGTCGGTGTACATAGGGTACACGGAACGTAATTCAAGTGACCAGTGTGTTGCTCCGAACACTGTTCCACATCGCCCGAGGTGGTGCAGGATTTATTCCTAAGATGGTTGACATCGAAAATGTTTACTCAGGTGTGAATTTTATTTATATATTTTCAAAGGAATAAAGTTGGTTATTGTAAGAATTCCCGTATAATTTGTTTGTTATTGTAACAGATGTATCATCATTGCTCGTATTTGATTATAACCTCACCCATAATTCGAATTATTTATTATTTTACCCACTGTGACAGTTTCTCGAATACTGAAACAACAAAACAAGACAATAAATAAAATATACGGTATTTTGGAAGATTTAATTATTTTACATATGCCTTATGTGGTCCCACAGACGAACGGATGTTTTACCTCTCTCGAACAATAGACTACCGGCCAATGACGTATGTATGTTAACATACTGCATTGTTATCGCCACATAAAATCACGTGATTTCAAAAGAAGAGGTGTGGGGTTTGTTATACAATAGGCTGGTTAGAGTGGGCATATCCTGATTCCATGGCCTGTCGTATCCATGCTTTGAAGCGCAATATTGTCATAGATGGTTCTATTTGGGTTCAGCTCGTGAACATTTGGGAAAAGGTTAGATCTTGGCAAAGCGTGGAGAATTAGAATGGTGTCAATTTGAAAATCAATGGTGGTCTGTGGCCATATAAACACATGTACGAGTCATTTCCCTGAAAATAAGCACGTCAATTTGTTTGTTCCGTGGCCTTAAGGAATGGAGCTTATTAGGCTCAAGTTTTTCTCTGTAATTACTGAATCACG